TAAACAAGAAGAAAGGAAACAGTGGGGACGCATGTTCTAACCTAACCTAACCTATTCTAATAAATTACCATAATTATTACCAACCAAATTATTAGAATAGGTTGGGTTAGGTTTGAACGTGCATCCCCATTGTTTCCTTTCTTCTCTTTGCTGGAATCAGAGACAAGCCGCCATTTTATTCACCATAGGTAACATTAACCAATTGCGCTTACTTATTTGTGCAGTATAAACATTGGTGACACTATGAATTTCATAGCAATTGGTTTTTGTGACAAGCACCCCTATTTGTGGTACATTTATTTGTGGCAAAGATCTTATTTTCAGTTTACGGATTGCCTAGTAGGTAATGCGCGGATTACCTAGATACTCTGCACATTATCTAGGTAATTTGAGAAATGGAACCATTTTCACAACTTTAACGAATCACCCTAGTTAATCTGCAGATTAGCTAGGTAATGCACATTAACGACTTTCAAGTTTTAGCGGTAACATATATAAATTAATGGTTGGTTTATGCAAATTTTTTATTTATATTCTGTTGTTATTTTTTTTCTTGATATTTATAAAAAAATTTTATAATATATATATATATAGGTACTTTATAAATAAATTGAAAATTATTTTTTAATTATAATGTGTATATAAATTAAAAACAATTTTATGGTTATAAAATATCATTAGCCGACAAGCTAAATGCATGTCTTGAAGCATTCCAGTGATAAAGAATACGACAAGAGCGGAGAGCAATAAACAAAGATTTAAATGCTGGAGAACAGTTAGAAACTGAGTTAGCAATCTTTGAAAAAAACAGGCATATTAAACTATTCAAATTTAAGATATTCCTGTATGATATTTTTTATTCGTATGAAATTCTATTTTATTATCTCATCCCAGAATTTCTCGTGATCCCTGGAAAAGAAATTATTTTTCCCCTAATCCCACTAGAGGCAAATTTCCCGGGAAATGAGAAACCCTATTTAGACCCTCAAATTCCAATGGGCCTCAAAAATTTCTACAAAAAAGAAAATTGAAGTCAAATTTTGTAAAAATTTTTGTAATAAAAATTTTTTTACAAACCAACAAAATATACTTTACTTTTTATTTTGTGTAGTATTTAATTAATATGTTTATGTTAATTCTTTTCTTTTTATGATTGACTTCTAAAACTGTGAAGGATTGGTAAGGGGCCTGACACAGAGTTCAGCTTAGGGCCTCNAAGAAGATTGAAGTCAAATTTTGAAATAAGGTTTTTTTTGTTTTTTTTTACAAACCAACAAAATATACTTTACTTTTTATTTTGTGTAGTATTTAATTAATATGTTTATGTTAATTCTTTTCTTTTTATGATTGACTTCTAAAACTGTGAAGGATTGGTAAGGGGCCTGACACAGAGTTCAGCTTAGGGCCTTGAAATGCTTAAATTGTCCCTGTGTCCCACACAAAATTACTGACATTTTCAACTTTGAAGAAAAATCCTTTAAAATTGATGGCATAACTTGTTCATGTAAAGCTGGACAATCAGAAAACTTTTTTTGTCAATTCCTAAGAGTTGAATCCACTCTTTCTGTCATTTATGAGCTGCTTTGAATTCTGATTTCTGAATAATCATCTGCTTTTCATGTGGGAATAGACAAAAACTTATATTGGGCTCCCGTATAGTTTAAAATTGCAATTTGGAACAGAAGGCTTTGCTATTCATCTTTACTGCTGACAATGCACAAAAGACCCAGATAAAATAGTTTTGTTTTTAAACACCAGAGGGTGAGCATTCAGAGAAAAATGCAAATACAAACCATTCTGAAGTAGATAAAAACTGCCACATTTATCTCCTTCTGGCAACCAACCAGCTTTTTTTTCCTTAAAATTGGTGGTTGTAAATGAAGCCTTTTTCAACCAATCATCACTAAATATTATGCAAATATTTAGTTTTTTTAGTCTTCATTCTGAAAATGAATAGTTTGTATTAACAAAAAAATCTTGCATCTGTTTTTGATCTAATGAGTTGCATTTCTGTGTAACAAATGGATAGTTGAAATTTGTTTTATACTAATCAGAAGTACACTTGCTGATTAATCAGAATCAACCAAAAAAACCATTGATTCTCTGTTAAGTTATTCATTTGATCCCTATTGGCCTGAAATTGTATTGAATAAGATTAATTGCGTTAAGGTTAGAAAATGAATACCTGAAATTTGTCACGAGTTTGTCGATGACTCTAGATAAAATTTTATCCCATTCTAATCGGGAAGCTGGTTAAATTGCATATTTGCAAGTTTTTGTTCTTCAGATATAAAAATTTTTGTTAGCTGTATGTTACAATTCTTTTAGAAAATCAACACTTTTATTACCAAATTTGATTTTAGGAATAAATGTTCTATCAACTGATGCAAAAAAAATTCCCAGTTTTTGATTTGTTACTCTGAAACTTTGCTTATAAGATAGAAAAGGACATTGTGTAACTTCAAATGACTGACTAAATTATACAACAGTTATAAGTGTGGATAATGTATATTGTATATTAATAATTGGATTATTTAATAATTTCATTTTCATGTAATTTTTCATTTTAAATTTTCATATTGCTGGTTGGATCAGTTGAGTAATTTTGACGAAATGAAACAGGTATTTTATCTTATTTTGAAAAAATGAATGCTTGTTATATAGTGACATCAAGAAGGATATGTATCATTTTTATGGAGATGATGTGTATAATATTTTACAGGATTTAGTTTCCTTGATTTTATCAAGCTCTTGTATATTAAAAATTAAAAAGATATTAATGAACTTAGAAATTTGTTGCTGTAGTTTTTATTTTATTATTAATGCATATTTATTGCTTATTTTTAAATGTCAAATATTCAAAGTAGTTTTAAAATATCTTGTATCTACCATAAAAATTCAAATCATAAAAACTCAATTTTTGAAGTTGAACAACTACTCTCTCCAGTTTGAGATTAGATTTCTTAGATAAGCCGAGCACAAGCCTTGCAGCTTAGGAAGTAGAATCATTGTGACGCCTTGTAAGATTTGATATTATCTGCATGTAATCGCCATATTTAGTCATATAACTGATATATTCTTATATATCCTAGATTAGATATATATTAAACTTTTTGTTTGTTAAACATGTTTGCCTGTCTCTCACTTGGGAAAACGGACACCCTCTCAACTTACCCGCTCGCACTCCCCACCTGACAGTTTAATCGACCCTCCTATTCACATTTATTTAAGAATCACAAGTTAGGACTCAATTTAGCATTATCCTAACTGGTGTCAGTCCTGACGTCTGACAGATCTCAAATCCTGCCGGCCCTTCCTCGAAAGCCATCCACGGATGAGATCGAGTCTTACTGACCTGTTGCCNGACCCTCCTATTCACATTTATTTAAGAATCACAAGTTAGGACTCAATTTAGCATTATCCTAACTGGTGTCAGTCCTGACGTCTGACAGATCTCAAATCCTGCCGGCCCTTCCTCGAAAGCCATCCACGGATGAGATCGAGTCTTACTGACCTGTTGCCGAGTAAGTGGTCTGTGGGGAACCCCTTGGCCCTCAACTAATTTCACACTTGTCATTCTTCTTACTACTAACATTTTTCATACCATTGTAGGTGACAGTTTATGAATATTTCTATAGTATTAAACCCAAATGATTGCCTGATTAAATTGTTTGGCTTTAATATAACTATTTAGTTATGAGATGTTTATATTTATATCTCTAGTATTCATGCTAGATAACTTAAAGCATCATGTATGCTGTTAAAAGCATTAAATTTTTTATCTAACAGCATAAGAAAGAAATTATTAAGGGTTGAAATGTTCAAAAAGATAGTTATTTACAGTTTAATTTCACTATGATAAAGAGCAGGACTACAGCTATCATAAAGAAATTTTTAATATTTTTTCAAGCTTTCAAACATTGTTCTGTTTGTCATTTCTACCTGAAAAAATCCCTTACAAAGAAAGATGAAAATACTTGTTTTTATTTGTGTTAAATTACAGCATTCAAAACTCATGTCAAGTAATTAAAGTTTAAAAATAATTAAATTTTAAGCTTATAACATTTCATTTCATTTGTTGTGAAATTTGAATAATTTGCTAAAAGCTTTACATATTTTCAATTATTTTAATAATTAGAATATTTATTTAATAAATTAAATGCACTTGTTTAATGATATATCATTAAGTATTTAATATAAAACTAGATTGTTATTTAGATAATTCTTCAATTTTTTCCTAATTATTTCTTATAATATTCTTTACACTTAATTAGATTTGCCTGTGAAGCTGGGCACATTAGACAGCATGCATTTTCCATTTCCTGCAGTTTTTATGATAAAATTTGCATCTTTTCACTTAATATAATGTTTCAGGGGCAATCTTTAAATGTACCGTGCCAAGTTTTGCTTGGTCTTCCACTTTTTTTTTTTTTTTCTGTGAGGAGATATCTGTTTTGATTCAATCTTAGGATGACTGTGATCTAGTAAATGGTAGTTATTGGCCAGGCTCATTCTGTATTTTATCACAATCTTATCTTGTAATCTTATTCTATACTATCTTCTCTTGTAACTTTTTAACTAAAAAAATTCAAATCAAATGACTGCTACATATAAATTTATGTATGTAAATTATAACACGGGTTTACACGTAGAAAAAATTTTATAAAATATTGTATTTAAATGCAATGAAAAGTTCTAGACAAATATTTTAAATTTAATTTTATTGTACTTTTTTATAAAACTAATAATATAGATTCTTTTTTATATATAAATTTCTTGTTTTTTCTTAAGACATATTTAGAACAAACAAAAACGAAATTTACTAAAGGATATAAAGGCATTAGTCCCCATAAAATAACGACAACAGTTGGCCTTAACAGTAAGTAGATTCTTAAATTTTTATCAGTTTATTTTACTTCTGTCTTTTTAACTTTAATGATATTTTAGTTGGTAGAATTGATATTCATGGAATAAGATTAAATTTCTGGGATCTTGGTGGTCAAGAAGAATTACAGTCTTTATGGGATAAAGTAAGTATTTTTCATTTTTTTGAAATCTGTTTGTGTTTCAAATTTTATAAACTACAAAAATAATTTTTAACTACACTTTGGACCCCAAACCAATAACTGCTGAAATATATACATTGCTGCCAAGTGGAATATTTTTTAAAGATAAGTCTTTGTCCAATGAGAGAAGACTATATGTTCTTCTCTCAAAACTATTTTCATGAAAGAGTCATTTGTTAAATCATTTGGAACTTTTGGGAGAGCAAATTTTAATTTATTTTCTCCAGTTTAAGACTGGATTCACATTAGCACTGCAAAATCCTCTTTTGACAGCCGGTTGGCAGTTGTGATGAGCTGCCAGTTGCTGTTATGTTGGTCTGGCGGACTGGTTTGTCCGGCTTGGCTTTAATACTTTTTTTTTTTTTTTGAGTACTTAATGAATATACTTAGCCAATGTTTTTATGTTTCAGAGATCTTCAATTACTATATCATAGCATTTTATATTTATGAAATTAATGATAAATAGTAAGAAAGAAAGAAAAAACTGAATGATTACATAAAATTAATAAAAGTCATATTGTAATAGTTCTGTCACAGTACCTATTTAGAATCAATCACTTTCTAAACAAGAAAACACTTTTTGTAAAATGTCATTGCAGTATGCCCATCGCTTATTCCCAGTTTCTTCACGTCGTCTATCTTTTCCAGCTTAAGTTTATTCTCCAATTGTAACAAATCAACTAATAGATACGACCATTTCTTACCTCTTTTTAACATTGTATGTTTGCACATCCCCAATCTATCAGAATAGTGCTGTTTGCAACAAATATATTTAGAGTTTATTCTGATTACTTTCACTTCAGATAGTTTAAAATCCATTTTTGACTTAATGTGTGAATGAATTGCAAGTTTCCAATTACCAAGTTACCAGTCTTTACCAAGAACATGTATTTGTCCTGTACACTCAAAAATTTTATTTGTAGTCTTCTGTTAAAAGAAGCAGTTCAGTTTTTCTTAACATTTTTTCCATCCTTCCAAAAGCCTTATCTATGGATGAATAACTGTGACCCTACACCAGATATGTAATCTCAAAAATTACACTACACATATCTGAAAGTTTACTTAGCATTACTAATGATGTGTAGTTTTTGTTTTGTGCACAATATCCATCACAAAACAAATGAATTTTCTTGATTGTTGGATTTTTCTTATGAAAATTTCTACAAAATAAGCATGTGACCTCTTTTTAGTATATTGACTAAATACTTTTTGAACTTCTTCAGAAAATGTGGCCATTGTTAAAGAAAAATTAAGAAAACAATCAAACACAATAGCACTTGCACTTCAGAAAGCAGTCATTACTGTGAAATAGTCATGTGACCAATATACACTTTATAATTGACTGTTATGGAAACGCCACAGTTTGGAAATAAAAACAAAATGAAAAATCCGATTTTTTCATACATTTTTCAACAGAAGAAACACCCATTTTGGAAAAAATTATTATAGAGAAGCATATCAATGTGAATTAAAAAATATATAAAATGTAGGTTATGTCACTTTGGAAATAAGCTCTTCAATTCAGCAATGAATTTAATAAAATAATAAAATAAATTAAATAAAATTTATTGCTGGATTTTAAAGGTGTGTGTTTTTTTATGATCTCTCTCTCCAGTTGGTTCCAAATTTATGGATATAGTTTTTTCTTATTATAATTGAATACAGTTTATAGGAAATGTATTATTTTTGCTTAGAATCTATAAACTTGTTTTAGATCTCAGCAGAATAATGGTTAAAACAAATTAACACTTTAAAAACTGTTTACGCTAGAATTTGAGCAAATGATATGAAATTTTTAAGCCTGTCAAGTTTAGCACAAGTAATTCTGATATACTTTGTGTGATTCATTTTAATTTTCTGATCTTCTGATTTTTAGTAATTAGAATAGTAATTAGTAAAATTCGTAGTAAAATTTATTTCTCTAGCATCAAAAATACAGTAGAGTGTCGATTTTCCGAAAGTCAATCATCCGAAAGAATTCCAGTCGGCAAATTTAAATTTTCGCCAGTGCTGTGGCGTTTCAATCTTTGGCTATGTCTTGGGCTACTCAAATATTTTACATTTTTTATACTAAATTAATATCTGAAGTATAATTTTTTATTATTTTTATATTTTTCAATATATTTATTTTGTTTGTACAAAATAAAAAAATAATTTTTAATGATACAATAGTCTTTGTTAGGCTTAACATCGACGAAAATTCAACGCAAAGCGACACGCAACGGATAAAAATTTTGACATCGGATAAGTTAAACTATTTGTTCGTACATAAATCAGTTATCCGGACAACTCCAGTCCCCAATTGATTCGGAAAATCGACGCTCTACTGTAATTATATTTTCAAAGTAGTTATTGATAAAAAAATTTTTTGTAAACTCTCTATTTAGTATTATGCAGAATCTCATGCTGTCATTTACATAATCGACTCTTCGGATAAAGAAAGGCTACAGGAATCAAAGCTTGCATTTGGTAAATATAAAAAATTTAGATTGAAATTCTATTACTTTAACTTATTAAATTCTTAATTGGGTTGCAATTTGAAAAACTTATAGACCTATAAATTCCTACTGCTGTCCATTCGTCCATCTTTCCTTAATCTCGAGAATGGAATTGAATGAAATCCAAGACCAGATATGGAAACCTTAGGGGCAGGAGGCCCTATTAACTATATACAAACTTCTGATGCAAATTGAAAGTCGCATTATTTCAATTCAAAACTTGCCCAAAAAGCTGTTAATTAATAGATGACCGGCATGACTCCAGTGATAACAGGAAAAGTATGATGTATTGGGGCAAGACCCTACAGTACTAATTTAAGGTGGAAAGCATATATTTTAAATGAAATAAATTAAAACTTGCAGCCTGACATTCTGACAATGTCACTATAAATAATTGTGATAAATTTATTTTTGTAGTTGTTTATTTGATTATATGAACTGTCTTTGGTATATTAATTTTACTAAAACAAAGTACAGAATAACTAAAAATTGCTGGTCTTTTCAACAAAGTAAATTCATCGATGTCCTGCAAAACATGGTATCCAACTAAGGCTGAGTACAGATTTCCTAGAACATAAATTTAGAACCTAATCAATTTTTATAGAATGCAAATATTTAAAAAAAAAATACTTTTGCCCTGTGATGGAAAATTTGTATTACCAAACATGCTAGCAAATTAAATTGTTCAACATTTTGTTTTTATTTTAATAAAATTAACACCATAATCCACTTTTTGTTTTTACATTAAATTCATTGTGCATCATTTATTATTCTCTGACTAAATAGCAAAATCTACAAATATAAAAATAGAAAAAAATAATTATCTTTCAGATGATTGTGTAATGTACATACGTATCATGACATTGTAAACATTAAAATTCTATTTGCATATTATTGTTTTACAGTTTGAAAGATGCTTACTATTAAACTGTAGTACAGGTGCACAAACTAAAAAAAATATGAACAATTTAGGTAGACATATTTGATTTTTTTTTGTTTTGTTATTCTTTAATGAATTTAAGAATGTGCTAGCTTAGATTGTTGCTCAGACTTTGTAGATTTACATTGATGTTTTCATGGCAGCAATATTCCAGATATAAACAAAATGGAGCAGCTTAATGAAGAGTAAAGAATTGAAGTTGGCAAATTTTACAACCAACATGGAGAAAGGGGGAGTAGCTTCACAGTTAAGCATTTTATGAATACGGGGATGACAAGAAAGACAATTTACAACATCATAGAGAGGTTGGAGAGTGGTAAGACATGTCCAGACAGTTGGCAAAAGAGAATTAAAATGACAGATAAGAAAAGTTGAACTAAGAAAACTTTGGAAGAGAGTTTAAAATATCTCATCAGTATGTTTACTAGTCAAGCAAAATGTTGTCCTTCAGAAGCAAGAGTCGGGCCAAAATATACGAGAAAATAAACTAGAATTTTATTTATTTATTTAATAATTAATTATAAAATCAAATATTTCTATAACAAACATAAATTAGTAGTTTTTATATTAACTTAATCACATAATAAATTTATAAATTTTAATAGAAAAAATGGTTGCAAGTGAAGCTCTTCATGGTGTTCCATTACTTGTGGTGGCAAATAAGCAGGATGTTCCAGTAAGTAAAGTTAATCGCAGATGTAATAATTACTTTGAACTTAATGTGTATGTAAAGCAAGAAAAAGCATATTGAAATTATTTAGTATGCTTTATCTTTGTGATTAATAATAATAAATAGGTATTTTATAAAAACAGTTCAGCTAAAATTCTTATTAATGTTAATTATTATTATGTATTATAATTGGATTGCAATATTTATTATTTACATTTGCTGTTAAATTAAGCAGTTATCCAAAGGAAAATCATATAAATTTTTTCATAAAATTTAATATACAGTATATACACACTATATAACCATTCTTTCTTTATTAATCTTGATTAGTCCATTATGGTTTAGTCTTAAACCAACAAATTGTTTTACATAATATGGTATTACAAGGTTTGTACAGTTAACTATTAATCTGTCCATCCACTTTCTTTTTTTTTTTATTGTTGGGTATTTCAACCTTCATACTAACTTATCGTATTTCTATTGAAATATAATGTATTTTTATCAGTAAGATTTCTATATTCTGTAAATCTTTGGTTGTTTTAACTTTTCTGTTAATTTATTTAACGTATACATTTTATATTGGATTGTAGATTGCATTATTATGTAATCCTCATAGTATTGTGCAGTGTGGGTGGAAATAAATCTTGGACAGGTCAGTTTGTAAACCGATATTATATGTATACATTTGTAGATTTTTAAAATTATTTTAGGTATGTTTTAAATTGTAGATTTAAAATAAAGTCAATTTCTTCGCGAATTTGTTCTACAACAGGTTGGCTTCAAGAAATTTTTTTGTAATGGAGTCTAACTTTTTCACAATTATTTCAATTGTATACAAACATAATGTTTTTTGTTGTAGATATTACCCATACAAAAAAGTACATAGATGAGGAAGACAAATCATAAAGCACCAAATTTCTAATTTCTACAAAAATAACAATTATATTTTTGCTTCGTATCCCAAATTACTTAATGCATGTAACATTTGATTTAACGAAAATAGTATTTATTTCTGACCATGCTAACCAGAAAATATTACGGAATAACTTTTAAATATGTTTTTTACTGGTATTATAAATCTGCTTGATATAAATTCAAATGTATATTAGAAGATTTTTTTCTTTCCCCAGGATTGCTTGACAGTGACAGAAATTAAAAATGTATTCAGAGAGAGTAATCATTTAATTGGTCGAAGAGATTGTCACGTTTTAGCTACTTCGGCTCTTTGCGGGTGAGTAATTCTTAATTGTTACAAAAAATTTAATTTGATTTGTAAATAAGAATAATGTTTCTACAAAAGAGTATTAGTTTTTTTCTAAATAAACTTTTTGAGTTGCTTAGCATATATCAATAATTGTGAATTACTGTGTTATTTACTCTCCACTTGTTCCAATCTATTCAGTGTTTTGTCTTCTGACAGGTAGTATTATCAACAGAAGTTCAGACTCAAATATTGTATGTTACTGAATACATCTCTAATTTTATATAGGATGCAGACTTTGGTGTGTTTAAATCTTCTGTTGGTTGATTATGCCATTGTACACTTAGACTTTTGAAGAAAGCACAAATGTACTTTAAAATATTTTTGTATAGTAAGAAAAGAATTTACAGTACAATATTAACTTAAAATCATTGAGCATGCTAAATCTAAATATATAAAATTACTTGTCCTGACTTTGACTTAGTCACTGATTCATCATCGCCCAGAGCAAACTGCTGAACCTAAAGAGGTGAAATTTGGTATACAGTTAGTGTGCGTTTCCATGACGTACCCTAAGAAGGGATTTTTCAAAATTCCCAAGGAGAGGGAGAGGATTAAGGCTTAACCGGAAGAACAGCTTCTATTGTACTATTTTAGATGCGATTTTTTGTTTTTAACTGTGTTTAGTCTTCATTGAGTACTTAGGTGTATTAAATTGATAACATTTCAGATATTGTTATAAATGTTTTTATATATTTCGATTTTTTAACCAAATATTCAAATCGTTTTAAATTCGAATTTGTTATTGCACATTGGTTCGATTATAGAACGATTGTAAACGTTCCAGAAAATTGTTAAAATTGAAAATAGTTCGTTTGATTCTCGGTAATTCTCATCATTCTCGGCAGTAGGTGTTATATAACAATTACTATGATTGTTGAAATACTGAATATAAATGCGGTTTGCTTGCAAAACCTCCGCAGGTGAAGTCATGGGTAACAGCTAGTTTACATATAAAATGGAAAAAACATTCTTCAGTTTTTGTAAGAAAATAATTTTTACATTTATAAACAAACATAATTGTAAATATATTAGATATGTTTTCCAAATAGGGTGTTAATTAGTTAATATGGCCCAAATCAAGACCACTTCTTAACTGAAAATTCTTGGATCCAATCTGGACTTGAGTATGAGTCCTTTAAAGTTAAACATAATTTTTTCACTTAAAACTATTTAGTTGGTCCAAATAGAAAAATTAAGAATTATTGACTGCAAGAATGTGATGCTATTAATTAATATGTATTTAAAGATTACTTTTAATTGCTAAATCCCTTAATAAACTTTTAATAATACAATGTTATTAGTATGTTGTTGAAACTGTGGCTATGATAAAATAGCAGTGATGCATAATATTGATGTCTGTTTACATCTATTGTCTTTATGTAATAAAATATTTTGAACAATAATTTTTTGATTTTAAATAGCGATTTCTTAACAGAATGCTAGGATTTTTTATAATCACTGTCTCATTTATAACAACAAAACAGCCTTCTAATAAAATAATTTTTTCTTTTAACAGAGATGGCATAAATGAAGGTATTGAGTGGGTAACTCATTGTGTGAAAAGAAATTTAGCCAAACCTCCCAAACGAAGTGATGATACTTGACCGTTTTCCAGATTTGAAACCAAACTTGTATATGGATATTTCATTTGTATGTTTGTATATTATGTAGTTATATTTATGAATATATTATATACATTATATTTGTTGTTTTTGTTATAAAAAACACTATATATTCTATTACATTGAACATGAACATAAATAATTACAAATCAAAAACATGTATGTTACAGATTCATAAATTCATTAATAATAATTAATAAACATTTTAATCATACAGTGCATTTATATTTGTAATTAAAATGACAAAAGAAGAGTATGTATAATATACTCATCTGTTTTATAAATATCGGTGAAAACAATTTATAAAAAAGTATTGTTATTAATGAAATTATGATAAAACAACAAAACTTTAGATCAAAGTTCATACAATTTATTCTTTAACCAAGTAAGCTAAATTTTTTATTTTAATAGCGAGAGACAAAGAACTAAACGTTGTTTTTTTATAACTTATGAAGAACAGTTTTTATTTTACTATTCAAAAAATTTACCAAGCTAATTTAAATCCATAAAAATACATTTGAAAATTCATTGAGGAATACAATTACATAAAATATGGTTAGATCAAGTAAGGGCAAGAGCATCATGCAATTAATTTTAATATGACTTCACTCAATAGCTGAAGCCAAAACTACAATTCCTGTATTAATTAGCTGATTTCTTTCAAATATGAATCTTTTTCATTTCGTTTTTGCTAGTTAAGACACTAAATTATACAGAGTAGAGTGTCCACTCTGTATAATTTTATTATAGTTCAAGTCAATGAGCTAAAAAATATCAAATTTTAAGGGAAGTAATAGAATCTAGATCAATGATCTATTTACTCTATTATATGATTATTTATACTTTTACAATGGAATTTAAGTTCAGAATTACATCAAGAAATATATTTTTGCAAAAACTATTTTTTAAAATGCATGTATATTATATTGACTTGGTTTAATAAACAAAAGTATTCATGCAAAAATTGTCTTGGATTCATAAGAATGCAATAATATAATACTAATCGAGAATAGATTCTATAAATAAAAATTAAGTAGATAACTTCTAAATAAATGCATTAATTCTTTGTTTGGGTAAATATCATTCTAGGCTGGGTTGTTTTTTGGTACAACCATAATCTGGAATCTTTTACCAGTCAGTTTCCAGTGGCACAGTATTGTAGAAAGTTAAAATTTTGTATGGAGGCAGTTTATGAACACATTATTGATGGCCACAATCACATAAACATTTGTGTCAAAATGGCATATGGATACATTCAACTTGAACTTGGCAAAAATCACCAAAGATAAAAAGTTCCAGATTTGTAAAAAATAGTTCAATCAGACGGAAGACTACTAAATCTGGTAGTCTTGAATGTCATACCATAACTGCTGTGCTTTAATCAATTGAGATTAAAGCTCAGCAGTTATATGCCAAAACATCTTTGATCCATATTATTTTAGATATGAATAATCTCAAATCAATTTTTTTATCAGTCAGTCAATAATTCTGATTTTACTATATTTAATATTAGTAATAATAAATAATTGAGCATATGAAAGTGTTATTTTCTTCATTGTATAGTTGTGTAATAGTATAGGAAATAGGAGAAATTTATTTTATTAAATGTTAATTACTGACAGAACTTTTTGTAAGACAAATTCAAAAAGTTTGTATGTTACATAGAAGAGAGATACTGTTTAGATTAAGATCATATACATCAGTAATACTGTGATAATACTTATATTTTTGGCCACTTATAAATGCCATATATGGAAGATTAAATTAATAACTGCCACTGGAATAACATGTATTAGAATTCTAAAGGAAATTATAATATTAAAATAGAAATTGTTATAAATAAATAACAGAACACTAAATTCAACTATTCAGATATGGTATATAATAATGATGTGTATAAATAAATATATAAATGTGTGGGCAGTACAAGACTGAAAAACTGCGCACTTGGATTGGATGTGATAAAATGATCTTTGTTAACTCTGATAAATAAATATGGAATGTATTTGTAAACTGTGTATTATAACTTATTTTGACTATTAATTAATTGCTTTAAATAATCTTNTATTAAACAAAATAAATATACAGAATTTTTTTCAAGAGTTTTGTGAATAAAAATTTGGTAGTAATAAATATTTGAATAAGTGTTTCAAATAATATTTGAAACACTTATTTTAATCAATAAAATCATTGATTATACAACAACTGAAAAATCAACATTGCTTAATAATTGTTTCTTCTTAATATAAAAATTCATTGTATATAATGAAAAAGTGAAGAATTGGTTTTTTGGTGTTATATACATTCAAATTAAAGATGAAAAGGCTATAAAAGTAAATAAAATATAATATTCAAAACTCCTTAATCAATCTCTATATAAAACTTGGAAGTTAAATTAGATTCTTAATTTAATATTCAAAAATCTGAATATTATATTTAAATTAAGCAATATCATGTCTTCTAAACAGTGCCGGCCCGAGGCAAGTTTTAGGATGGAGCAAGATCCTATTATGGCGCGTAGGTGGGGTGGAACCCCACCCACGTGCGTCTCAACAGATAAGGCCATTCACATACTGGCCATAAGCGTGCAATTAAAATATCGAAAAGTGAAAAAAATATTTTTTTCTTTAATTTTCTTTACCACTGAGGCACCCCCTAGGACTTAGTGCCTGGAGCAGCTGCTCCGTTTGCCCTATGGTAGGGCCGGCTTTGCTTTTAAACCATAATGTCTCTTATTCAGTTTGATAAAAAAAAAAATATCCAAAGACAATGTGAGCCTTCCAGGCCACCAAAATTGTATTGCTTTCTTTATAATTAATCACCTGCCCATCCTCTTTTAATTCTTATCCATGAAGATGTAGCATTTTTATTAGAATTTTTTGTTGTATTTTATTTACTTTTATAGACTTTTATAAATTTAAATACGAAAAAAAGGTTGTTATTTTTTGTCATAAGATCTAGTTCCATTATAAATTTCTAGTTACATTCTGTAAATGTTAAAAATAATATTTGAATTATGTTAAACATTTTCAAAATGTCATTAGGAGTTTATAAAAGACTAGAGCTCATGACAATTTTGTCTTTTTTTTTCATAAACTTATAAAAGGCTATAAAAACAAGTAAAATAAAACATTCAAACATTTTTAAATGTTATATTTTATTTACTTTTACATATATATACGTTTATACATATAGAAACAATGTTATAAGGTAAAAGTAATAATTTATTCTTCTTGATAAAATTTTATTGATATTAATTTTAGCACAAAAATAAAAAACACCCACTCACAAAACTGTACTTTTGAATATAATGTACAAAAATAAACAATGCTTAATTATTTCAACATTATTTTAAAAAATTTATTCCTAACAACAACATTTTTATTTTCTTTTCCAAAAATTTTTTGTTCAGAATTTTGCTATCTACGTTATTATTTTTATAATAAAGTATTTGATCATGCATTTATTAATAGAATAATATAAACTGACAACTAAATCTTCAAACTATCTTTGTAGTCTGCACAATAATAAAGCATTAAAAAAGCAATTTTGATCGTGAATATTTTAAATGTAAAACTAATAACTTGTAATTAATTTTAAGCTATCTTTATAATTTAATTTCTTTTCCAGACAGCATGAAGATTCCAATAAACTACTTAAATTTGGCAATATGCATTCCATGTAATCTTATAATCTAATATATTGAACTAACATTACTTTCAATTGAATATAATTTATAAACTGTGTGAAATTTTAAGGAAAGTAAATGGCAAAAGAAAATCTAAAAAATTATTTTCTTACATAATTTTCTTAATCTGTATTAAATAAAATACAAACAAATTATTTTTTTCTTAACAATTTCATACTATAGTAGATACTAGATCATATGGGATGAATGGGAAAAATATCATCCTGTTTAATCCAGTACTGTTTAATTAAATCCTGCACCTATTAAACAGAACAGGAAACTTTTCAAAGAAACATGAGAATGACTCAACCACATTTACTCATTACAAACTAGATACTTCAACAAAATGTACTGTTCCCCTTTCACTTCTGGCCAATATCTTGCAAAGCAGATGAGTCATAAATACTGTTGTATTTAGTTCAANTATTTTTAATTCATCGAAATTTCTCAAAATCTGATGTTTCTACATTTTAATAGATATACCTTACATTGTCACATATAAGTTACACCTTACCTTTTCGTATTTCGTTAGACTTTCTAAAAATTTTATTTCTCCAAGAATTTTCTTAGATGGACCCCAATAATCTTCACTATAGCTACCTAATTATTTGATATAAAATTTAAATTCAATACAAGAAATTATTCATAATAATATCTTACAAAATAAAATTTTCTTCTAAGGTTTTGAAGTTAATTCTATATATGCTAAATTTACATTATACAGCAGTGTTTTTCAACCTTCTTGAATACGCGACCCCTTTACAAGTTAAAATATTCTGGCGACCCCCCACGGCCATATTAAAATTATGTCAGTGATTTTAAAAACTATGTATTTAATTTTCTTTCTGTTGAGATTTAAATATCGATAAAAAACTAATTGTACTGTAAAATAAACAGGCACAGCCTTCTCACTGAAATTGTAGTTTTTTTATTGTAGTGTAAGACCTACAAACACTTGTCTTTTTCTTTTACCCGCGACCCCCCGTATATGGCTTTGCGACCCACCTGGGGGTTGCAACCCACAGGTTGAAAAACACTGTTATACAGTAAACTCCCGATTATCCAGGCTAATGGTGGGGAGAGGTGGCACAGATAATCCAAACTATAATTATTTATTTCTAAAATACAACATGTAGATTCACCTTTTTCAAATTTCTCAATTAACGTTAGTTTTTGTTTTATAATAAGTATGACTTTATTTCAATTATTAGGCATTTTAAGGGTACTTATCTGAAAATTAAAAAAATAATCTTATTTTACGTAATTTTACACTAAAAGTATTTGTTGGAGTTATTTGTACATATAATCAAATCTTAAATTGTAATGCATATTATAACATGCAACTA